CATCTGTGTTCACCAGGGATACTATTCTGTACTTATCTCAAAATATCTTTAGCTGGTTTTAATAATCACATAATACTAGCTTCATAAGACAAGACAGGAAGTGTTTCATTTCCTTTTTTTCTGGAAAAAACATACAAAATTAATATATTTCTTCCTTAAATGTTTGATTCAATTTATTGATGAAGATATCTAGGATTGGAGCTTCTCTTCAAGGAAGATTAGAAACTTCAAATATTTAATTAAAAATAGATATAGGGCTATTGAGGTTATCTATTCTCATGTGGGACTTTTGTGTCTTTAAAGGAATTAATCAATTTCATCCAAGTTGTATTTGCTGTCAAAAGGTGCTCATTATTTTTTTTTTTATTATCCCTACAATGTCTGTTGGAGTTGTAGTGATGTTCTCTTTTTCATTCCTGATACTGGAAATTTGTGTCTAAATAGAGTTTTATCAATTTTATTGATAWATCGAAATTACACTGCTTTTTTTTCTCTATTTTGTCTTTTTAGGCCCACATTTATCTTTATCATTTACTTCTTTGTGAATATTTTGGATTAAATTTGTTCTTTTTATATTTTTTATTAAGGCTGACATTTAGATCACTGATTTGGAATATTGTTCTTTTCCAATATAGGTGTTTTTTCCTCTCAGTATTGTTTCATTGTACCTTCACAAAATTTGACATGTCTTTTTAAAATTTTCATTCAATTAAAAATAGGTTTTGTGATTTCTTCTATGACTCATAGTTATTTAGTTACTATGTCTATTTTTTTTTTTTTTTTGAGGTGCTGGGGATTGAAAACCCAGGCATCAGACATTTTAGGCAAACACTCTACCACTGAGATACATCCCTAGGCAAGACTAATGGTTTTTTAGAAGAATAATGCTATTTAATTTCCAACTGTCTAGGGAATTTCTGGTTTTCCAAATGACTTTGTTATAGATTCTCAGTTTATTTCTGCTGTGAGATTATATATATTTTATATAAACTGATATATATATATATATATATATATCAGTTTCTAAGACCAGTCTCTATAATAGGCTGGATATGAATTCTGTCCAGTGTCTTATGTATTGTGAAGATATTCAGGATAGCAAGAATTCTAATGATTATCTGTCCTTGGTGAGCTCCAGAAATTGTTTGGCATACTAATTTCCAGTAGATCTTTCCTGAGACTGAGGAGGTTTACACTTAAAACATGTTCAGGTCGCTCAGCCAAAGATATAGGACATCCCTGTGTAGAATTCCAAAGCTCATTCTGTGTTCAGTTTCCTCCTCTCTGATATTCTGCTCCACAAATTCCAGTTAGCCTAGACCCTGCAAAATTCCAAGCATTGTCAAAACTACTGGGCTGTGTTTGTCTAAAAATTACCCCAGATGTTTTCAAAATGTCCACCTCAATTGTTTCCTTTCTCTAGGGATCACAATCCTGTGCTATCTGGTGCTCAATATCTGAAGACGGTTTCTCCTCTTTATTTGGGTAACTTTTCTAGTTCTTTCAGGAGTGAGTGAGAATATTTTCAAACTATATTTTCTCCTTTATGACTTGGGTAAAATAAATTAACTCTTGTAACTTTTGGTTTTTAACCTAAAGTATTGATTTGCATCCCTGACATATTTACACTCTACTTAAGCCAGTACTTTTATCTCTTCTTGGACAAATCTCGTAGCTTTAACATTGAGCGACATCCCCAGTTCTTTTAACAATTATTTGATAATTAAGTCTCTTCCTCCTTTTGGACTACCATCTCCATGTGTGTGTGTTTTATAAAATGTCATAAGATATTATTATTTCATCTTAAAATCAAAACTATTTTGTAATTATCCATTAATATTCCCTTTCCTTTGTCATCCTTTCTGCCAGACTTTCTCTTGTGTTTTTTAAATATTTTTTTAGTTGTAGGTGGGCACAATACCTTTATTTTATTTATTTATAGGTGGTGCTGAGGATCCAACCCAGGGCCTCACATGTGTTGGGTGAGTGGTCTACTGCTGAGCCAACAACTTTAGCTTTCTTGTGCTTCTTAAAAGTTTTTTTTTTTTAGATTTTGTCTGTCTGGAAAAAAAACTCTTTTTGGATTTCACATTTGGGGTTTGCTTTTGCTAGGTAAGGAATTTGCAAAAGTGGCAGTGTAATTTATTGGGGGGTGGACTTTAAAAATTTCAATCTACTATATTATGAATTTCATAGTTTCTGTTTCATTGCTCCCATTATTCTTTTTTGGGCAGGGTGTACTAGGGATTAAATCCCGTAGCTTTAACATTGAGCGACATCCCCAGTCCYTTTTATTTTTCTAATATTGAGACAAGGTTTCACTAAGTTGCTTAGGGCCTTGCTAAATTGCTGAGGCTTGGCTTGAACATGCAATCCTCCTGTCTCAGCCTCCCAAGCTGCTGGGATTAAAGGCATGCGCCAACATACTCTGTATTACCCATTATTCTTATTTTCTCTTAAAGGTAATATGTCTTTTTTCTTCTGGTTGTTTGTAAATTTTCATTTTATCTTTGAGCTTTAGGAGTTTATGATGTTCCTAGCTATGTGTTTCTTTATATTTCTCCTGTTCAAAAGTTTACTTGGCTTCCTGACTCTGTTAGTTAATGCTATTGTTTTGAAAATTCTTGACCATTGTACTTTCAAATATTTCTTCATCCCCCTCCCCTCCCTTTCTGGGATATTAATTACATGTATGTCAGATCTTTTGATTATACTTCACATATTCTTTTTTTTTTCTGGTTTTTCCATTCTTTTGGCTGCACTTTTGTTTGGATTTTTCTATTGACTTATCTTCAAATTCACTAATTCCCTCTTCTGCTATGTTTAGTCTTCTATTAATCATATCAAATGAGCTAATTTCAAATACTGTGTCCTAAATAATGAGTTCTAAAATGTCTATTATTAATTTCACTTCAGATTTTCTAATAATATTTTAAATGTCTCCATGTTTTTCTCTTCTATTAAAAATATATTAATAACTTAATATATTAACTTTATTATATAAAATATATTAGTAATTTTAAAATGCTTATTTACAAAGTCCAATCTATCTATGGTRCTGCTTCTTTTGTTTTCTCCTGATTATTGGTCATATTTTCTCACCTTTAAGCATATGTAGCAATGCATGCCTCTTTGTTTTCTACTTGTATTGAAAGCACTGGCCTGTGATTCAGTATCCGTTTCTTACTCCTACAATTTCTTTATATACATTTTAGGAATACAGAGCTAGCATTGCTTTTATTTACTGAGAATCTGCTTGAATATTGAATATTATATGATGGTTCTTTTTTTATTTTATTTCATTTTTCATTAACAAGAGTACAGTTGCAATTTACCTGCTCAAAAGTTATCCAGTCATTTCAACTGCTAATAATAATGAAAGATGACCTTCTGGAAGGTAATCATCAAAATTAATAAAAAAAATTATACATAGAGGTTGTTAAGAATGAACACACACACACACACACACACACACACACACACCCCAACACCTGTATATCAGTAGATACAATACAGAATTTAAAGCCAGAACAACTGCTCTAAGCCTTACCTCTGTCATTTACTAATAAAGTGACCTTAATCAAATTGTTTGCCTACTTTGAGTCTTAGTTTTCAATTTACAAATATAAAATAGTATATTTTAAGTTCATAATGCTATTGCAAAGACAAAACATTTTAAAATATTTTAAAGAYCTGGATAAGCTATAATCATGCTGTAAAGTGACTTACACAATATTATTATAGTTTATAAATCTATAGATCAAAAGCCATTTAATTAAATAAACTTGGGGATGGGGGAAAACTGATTCATGGAAAATAAAAAATAATAACAGTTTGACATCAAGGAAAGGGTAAAAACTATTTTTAAAGTACCAATATAAATGCATGGTAAGCTATTTAATATTGACTTAAACACTCCTGCTTATTTTAACAAGCCCTGGAAGTTATTACTTTATCTCAACAAGGTGAAGTGATTAATGACAAGAAGTCTGAACATAAAGATAAATAATATCCTGTCTATTATTACTGAAATATAGGAATAAGTAATAAACTTGGGAAAACCGCAATAAAAAATAATAAAAATTCCTGTTGGGCAATCTGCAAGTGGATTCATTTCTACATAGGTATCTTTATAACATGACCWTAGCACAAGTAACTGCAAGAACAAAATGAAAAATCTGTATCATTTACTAATTCTTATTAATGGAATACTTCATAAAAGGTATGATTTTCTAGAAGTCTTGAACAAGAGACTGGCCTTCAAAAGATCATAGGAAAGGATATAACCAACATTCTAGGGATACAACAGAAAAAAGAATGAAGTGACTATATGAAGGAGAGGTCAGAGAAGACATGTCATATATGTTGTTGGAAGCCAGAATCATTTTGAGCAACTGTAAAGAATGGGAGAGCAGAGGTAAGTAGAAGGGACTATACTTCAGAAATAATTAATAATCATATAGGGAGGTAGGATAAATGAAATAAAAGTGGACCCCCCCACACTAAAAATGGTTGTAAACTATTTATGAATGAAGTAAGAAGGTTGCTCCAGAGTTGACTAGAGAAACAGACTTAAAATGTCAAATTTATGCAAAAAAAAAGAAAAATTTTAAATGTACTACATAAAGGAAGTTAAGAAAATAAATGGGAAAAAAGGTACATGTGGATAATGTAAAAGAAAATAATCAATACCTGCTCTTATTAAAACTAGAGGTAGAACCAGAATCTTTAGGAGTGTGCTCCTGTGATCTCTCTAAACCTTAAATGCGTTAGGCCAAAAACTAGCATTATTTCATTCTGTATTTAAAGAAGAACAGAAAGGGCAAAAGTGGCCTGATTTTCACCCACATTAGGATTTCATTATGTGATAAGGGTTACTTACTACTGGCTAACTATGCCTAAAGCATATCAATCAAGTTCTAAAATAGTAGTATCTCAAAAGACTTTTATAAAAACGATTTCCAACATAATCCAATAATCTTATGCATAAACCAATATACCTTAGCAAGTGATTTTACAATAGGATTCTCCATAATCCCCTTGAGGAAAATTAGGTCTATTTCTTCTGCTCCTGTAGATGAGGGCAGCTCCGTAAGGTTTTCCAAGACTTGCTGCATTGCTGCTGAGATAAAAGCAACATAAAACAAAATAAAACAAAACAAAACCACTTAAATTCTAAGCCAACGATTATAAAATAATGCAAATAAAGACATTGATAACACTGAAAAATCACAATTTAAAAACTAAATAATTAAAGAGTATGAGTTTCAAGTTGACTTCTTGTGCATTCGTAACAGGATAAAAATTTATATGCAATTTGGGCTGTATCACACTACACCTTATACATGTTAGAATTTGCATTTGCTTTATATTATAAATAAGAAGATTGAGTCAATAATCAAAAACTTATAAATAAGAAGATTGAGTCAGTAATCAAAAAACTCCCCACAGGCCCAGAATGAGGCATCACTGACAAATTCCACCAAACATTTATAAAGAGTTAAAACTAATTCCTCACAAATTCTTCTAAATATATACAAGAAGTGGGATCACTTTACAACTCATTCTGTGAAACCAGTTTCCCTGATAAAGACATCACAATAAAATCATAGTCAATATCCCTTATGAATACAGATGCAAAAACCTTTAATAAAATGCTAGCAAAGTGAATCCAGCAACATGTAAAAAGGACTGTACACAAATCCCATGTTCAATTTATCTCAGGAATACAAAATGGTCCAATATATGAATACAAAATGGTCAATCAATATAATATACCAAGAAACTGAGGACAAAAAATTGCCATCTCAATAGACACACAAGAAAGCATTTGACAAAACCAAAGCCCTCTCATGATTCAGGAGAAAAAAAAAAATTTTTAATAACCAAACTAGGGGTAAAACAAAAATTTCTCAAATCTCCTAAAGAACATCCACAACAACCTGAAGCAAACTTCGAAGACTAGATGGTTTCTCTTGAAGACGAGGAATAAGAAACCAGTTACCCATTTTTTTTTTTTTTTTAGCATTTCTATTAAGTTTGTATTAGAGTTTCTACCCAGGGCAGATAAGCAAAACAAATAAATAAATGGCAACCAGATGAAAAAGGAGTAAGTCAAACAATCTCTATTTGAAAATATGATCTTCCATATGGAAAATCCTAATACACAAAATATTTATTAGAATAAATAAATTAATTCACTTAAGTTTTGGATACAAGAATCAATATACAAAAATAAAAAGTATTTGTATACATTAGCAACAAATAATCCAAAATTAAAAGAAAAACAAAAAACAAAACACTCCTTTTACAGTAGCCTCAGAAAAAAAGCTGAACAATAATGTAGCCCCTGCCCCAAAAAAACCCATAAAATTTGCATACTAAAATTTTATAAAAAAATTTTATAAAGATTGAATGTTGACCTCAATGAATGGAAAAACATGTTCATGGATTAAAATACTTAATATTGCTTACATGGCAGTACTATCCAAATTGATATACAGATGTAATGTAATTCTTATCAAAATCTCAAAATTACAGCTGTCTTTTTTTTTTTTTTTTACAGAAATTGACAGGCTGATTCTAAAATTCATATGAACCACAAAGGACCCAGAATTGCAAAAACAATCTTTAGTGAGAAGAATGAAATACACATTTTTTAGTTTCAAAACTAACAAGCAATAATAATTAAAACTGTGTGGTACTAACATATAGACCAGTAACAAGAGTCCAGAAACAATCCCATAAAAATGGTCTTTTCCAAAATTGACGCTGAGACAAATGCACATGTAAGACAATAAAGCTAGACCCCTCCCCCTCAATCAATATTACAGTTTAATTTTATTAGAATTAATTTTATTAGTTTTATCTCATTTTGATGTTACTTTAAAATAAATTTATTAACACTGCAGTTAATTTTAGAATGCTTATCTTCATTAAAATAAAACCAACAGTGTGTTATTATTTGGATATGAGGTGTCCCCCAAAAGCGGTGTCAATGCACAAATATTCAGAGATGAAATGATTATATTAAAAGAATTGTAACCAAACCATCCTAATTTGAAAGGACTACTGTACTAGGTGGTAACTATAGGCAGGTGGGGTGTGGATGGTAGGAGGTGGGTCACTGGAGGTAATCGTTTATCTGCCCTATTTTCCCCAACTTTGAATTTTTAATAAAATCAACAGTTCTTTTCATATAGAACTCTTTGAGTTTTTTCCAAATGTTCCAGCAATCATCACTTTTCTATCAGTATTCTTCCAAATGCTCACATACTTTTCTAATACTCTGTTAGCTATATTTCTTGACTTCTATCCATGATTCCCCTCCCAAAACATTAGTCTGTGCTTTTATCTGTACAGATTCACCTCTAGGTCTCCTACTCTATGTTTAAAAAAACACAGCTAAAAAGGAAAAAGGAAAAGAAAGGAGAGAAAAGGAAAAGAGAAGAAAGGAAAAGAGAAGTTAAGAGGTGAATGGCAACACAATGTACACTTAAACCAAGAAGGAGGAAAACCACACTACACTAAGATGAAAGAAGACACTAGGAAATAAACAATATTTTAAACATTGCTTCTCAGCCTTTGGCTAAAATAAAGTGAAGAATATAACAAAGCCTACTTAATAATTTTGCTTGAGTTCAAAGTTTACTTTTAAGCAGGCAGGGAACTACAGAATCAATTTTGAAAAGTATTTTTGTCCTGATTTTATCAATGTAGTTAGCTCTACTTGTCATAATTACTTATAGTTCTTTCCTTTGGCATTCTATATTTATCTTTTTATTATGGAAAATTTTAAACATATACAAAAGGAAACAGAATAGCATAATGAATCCAACAACTATCACCTCTAACAATTAGCAACTTATGACCAATCTTGTTTCATACTCATATATACTTTCTACCTCACACAACTTTGAAGCAAATCCCAGATAACATCTCAGTGTATATATAGAAAAAAATCACTTTTAAAACAATATAACCAAATACTGTTGACACAGTTACCACATTAACAATAATCATTTAGTGTATGTTTTAAAATCTCCATTTGTATTGAAGATTTTAAAAATATATCTTCTATATTGGTAATTCAACTGTTTATTGTTTTATTGGTGCTTAATTAACTAAGTAGAAAAATGATGGTGACTATGAAATATACCTGTGGCTACTTTGAAGATAAATTTTAACTGCTTCTTTATCAAAAGTAATTTAATTAAAACTCTGACACATTTGCCAATATCCTATGTCCCAGAAAGGGAATCCTAAATGTTATAGGGCTGACAATCATTTGTAACTAATTTGAACATTTGGTGGACTTTCAATCAAAATATAATACATAGTTCTTTTTAACTGTATTATCCTAAAAGCACATGAAAAGATAAAATGTGAGATAATTTTAACAAAGGATAATGATAAATGGGTCTGTTCCCAGTTTACTAAAAAAGATCTGCAGAGTTTCTCACCAATATTATGAACAACAGAGTCTGAGGTGTTACTTTCTAACTGAAATCCCTCCTATTATTTTTTTCCTTCAAATGCAAATAATTGCCTTTTATTCCACCAAAGTCCTTTTTTCACCAAATTTTGGGGGAAAAATACATTAATGGTAAGAAAAAAAAGGAGGGGGAGAAAGAAAAGCAATGAGAAAGAATTAACATTACAAAATGATAAAGTATATAATAGTAGCTCAGACTTGGATAACCCAATTCTAGTGTACATAATAGCTTCATATATGAAGTAAAAAATGAAAATTGAAATGAAAAAATGAAAATTTTTGCAGTGAGGGCCTTGAAAAGAGGTGGGGAAATGTCCCAAATTTACTTAAGAGATTCAGGAAAAAGGGAAAGTCTCAGAACTCAAAGGTAAACTACCTGCAAATTCCATTCTTCCTTTATAATCATTGGAGGATAGACCCTTTAATCAGAACCTAGACTTGATGACATATAAAAGGAATTCTTATTAGAGCTGGGGAAAATCTTATATAGTTAACCTAGGCTCTTTAATTTTAAATCTGAATAAATCAAGAATCAACAAATGCTTATGAAAATAAGCATCATGAATGAGACTCAGATTGAAGCATTAACCTCCAAAGAAACACAKTTAAAAAGGCCGAGACAGGAGGATCACAAGTTCAAGGTCAACCTCAATAACTTAGCAGAACCCTATCTCAAAGTAAAAACATAAAATGGACTCTGGAGATATAGCTCAGTGGTAGAGCAACCCTGGGTTCAATTCCCCAATACAGAGAGAGAGAGAGAGAGAGAGAGAGAGAGAGAGAGAGAGAGAGAGAGAAAGAAGAAGAAGAAGGAGGAGGAGGAGGAGGAGGGGAAAGAGGAAGGGGGTGAAGGAAGGAGGAAGAAGAAGAAGGGGAGAAATAGGGAGAGAGGGAAGGGGAGAAGGGAGGAGGGAGAAAGGAGGAAGGAAAAGGGAAGGAGGAGGAGGGAGGAGGAGGAGGAAGAGAAAGAGGAAAGGGAGAAAAAAATGAAAATTGAATTATAATGGCCAGGAAAAGTTGAAGAATCCTCCCACTAAAAAAGTGCAGAATGGGCTGGAGATGTAGCTCACAGGTAGATCACTTGCCTGGCATATGTTTGGCCCTAAGCTTGATCATCATTGGGGAAAAATAAAAAATAAAAAGCAAAAGGCAAACAAAGGGAAAATATGAGAAAACAGCCCRCTATGAATCTGAAAGGAAAAATTTTAGAAATCCAGAAGTACAAAAAAGGAATTTAAAAGGGAAAGCAGAAATCAATAAAAAATGCAAATACATGAAAGATTTAATCAATAAGCCAATAAATAGCTGCTATTTCAAAAGAACAATAAAATAGTCAAATATTTAATCTGATCATAAAAAGACAYAAACTATATGAGAAATGAAATGAGAAAATAATTACAGGTATAAAKAAGATTAATCAAGAATACAATGAACAACTCCTCCAAAACTTCATAACAGTAAATGATTCCAGAGATACTGAAGAGGATCAAATGCTGGATGAAAAATTCAAAACAAAGATGTTAAAAATGATGAATGAATTTAAAAGGATACAAATAAACAGCTTAATGAATTAAGACAGACAATGTAGGATATGAAAGCACAATTCAATAAAGACGTAGAGATTC